AGATTGTCCATGTATCAATGCCAATAACCATTGAGATTCATCCATTGTGTGCCCTTTGATATGTCCCCAAGTTATTGTTGTTAGGTTGAAATATTACCTTGGTTGAGATTGGTTTGCTTGGGGACAAGCAAACTGTTCAAGTGTGGGGGAAGTGATTCAGGGCTAATTACACACATTTTGCCCCTCATTTCTTGAGAGTTTGCCTTTGAAATTTATTGTCCATCGACCTATAATGATAGGGTGTGCTATTTTTGATACATTTCAGGTCCTAGCGCATTTGGAAGGGTTGAGGACGACTTTCGGGACGATGGAGTTGAAAAGCGCCAAAAAGTGAAAAATAACCGATTGTCACGATTTCGAGGTGATTGTCACGGTCTGGCAAATCATGACAATCGACTAGTGGTTGCGAAATCATATGGAAAAATAACGTTTCGCGCGCATCGTGCGCCTAAAAGTTATCACGAACGCCTGACCGTGATAATTTCAAGGTGACTATGATGTCGGACCAAAATGGTGCCACTGACCTGCATTTTTGTCCGATGTCACGGTCAGAGTTCCAGAGTCACGATCGTGATGTGCAGACCATGAAAGTGAATTGGGCTTTACAAATAGAAGGCTGCTGGGAGAGAGAAGAGGAGGGTGGATCTTGGATTGGGTTTCACATTTTATGGTCCCCTTCTATGGGTCCAACTGGAAAACCTTAAAAAGGAGGAAGAATTCTAGTGAGAGAAAGAGGGCTATTCTTCATCTTGTTAAGAGAGAGAAAGGAAAAGCCAAAGGAAGAAGGAAGAAGGAAGAAGATTGGGCTCGCCCTAAGCTAGAGGATTGAAGGTCTTCTTATTCTTCAGGGTGTTCCAACCAACAAGGAAGGAGGATAGTCCCACACCATGGTTCTTTCTTTCATCTTTGTTGTTTTCCCTTGCCTAGCTATGGGGTAGTGCTCCCTCTCACTTGGGTATTGTGAACTCTAGTCTAGATGTGGGTTAGGATGTAAGAACATGACTCTATGTGTGTTGATTGAATGTTTTAGATAATATTTGAGGTATTATTCATAAATGATTGAGTGTTCCTAGATTTAACTCATTATTATGCCATTTTGACATAGGTAGAGGGGAATCCCCTTCTTGCTAAGAGGTTTTATAAGTTGGAATTTTTTGGCCAATTGAGCCACCTAGTTAGGCCGAATTAGGGTAAACCTCAAATATCGAATTCGTGTCATGACGGCATCATAATTGGTCACCATCAGTCGTCCGCCGTAATTTCTGAGGGATTGGTTCTTGCAATCCTTGGTCGATTGGTTAAGAGGGCTAGATTTCGTTCATTGTTTCTTAATATGAGACTAGGGGAGCAATACCCGGGTGAAGTCCTATAACATCTCGAACCTTTTCCCGACAAGATACTATCCGCTTTGGGCCTCTACACCCGCACAGATTTCGACTTGGGGTGCAATTCAGGGTGACTTCCCATAAGGTCACCCATCCTTTTTGTACTCCACACTGAGCACGTTTAACTTCGGAGTTCTCACAAGAACTCCTCCATTACCCCCAAAACGCGTCTTGGTTCATAATAAGAAACCGACCTTAACTGACAAGACGTGTTTTGGAGTGTAATGGAGGAGTTCTTGTGAGAACTCCGAAGTTAAACGTGCTCACTATGGAGTACAAAAAGGATGGGTGACCTTATGGGAAGTCACCCTGAATTGCACCCCAAGTCGAAATTCGTGCGGGTGTAGAGGCCCAAAGCGGACAATATCTTGTCGGGAAAAGGTTCGGGGTGTTACAAGTCCTCTCATATAGAATTCTCCGCAATTTACTCTTCTTGCTTGTTTTTGTTTGTAGTTTCTTTAGCTTTAATTAACCAAAAACCATTTTTGCTTGATAACAACTTAAACGATTGAAGTAGGGGTACATGGGCCGACCCGGGTTTGACAATATAAACATACTTGCCCTATACTGTACCCGGCTAGAGTTTATGCTTGACCTAGGTACTTCTGCCTATAAATAGGTGATGCTATCAGATTGAAGGGGAGGATTCTAGAATGAGAAACTAGGCAGCTAATGGTAGAGAGAGAAAGTGATGAGGTAGATCCATATGTGTTGATTGGAGGCCTCAATCCACAATTGGAAGCTAGATTCATCATCAAGGGTTGGGCATTGAAGATCAAGAGGAAGAACCCATTCCAAAAGGATGATTTCTCTTATTGAATTTGTGTTTATCTCTCTTTCTCTCACCATGGAGTAGAAACCTTACTCACTTGGGTGTTGTAGAACCCTCATATCGGACTACAATGCTGTATTGGATCATTATCCATTAGTGGGAGTCTAAATTGCATGCCATAGGTGTTCTATTTTGTCGGATGCGGGAACTCTCCCTCCGAATAGTCTATCCTAAGTGAGATTGGATAACTCAAAAGAGAGTTCAAGCAGCGTTAGGATTCTCCGCAGTATAAACTCGAGTGGGCAAGCTTTGGAGCATCAATCATCGGTCTAATTTGTAGCTAGAGGAAAGCACACTCGAGTAACTTTCTCTCGATAGATTTCAACCAAAATTTATTTGCTTTGCTTTATAGTTGATAGCTTAATTCAAACCTCAATTTTCTAGATAACAATTTAGTTCATGAAGTAATAGTAGATTTGTCGTACGTGTTGATAATTAAAACTTACTTCCGCTATACTACACCTGATTGATGGTTGCACTTGGCCTTCGATTGGGATAGTAGGGTTGAACCACATAGCCACTAGTGAAAAGGTGAAAGAGTGGGGTTGTGTACTTGTGTTGAGAGTGGCCTATCAGTCTATGTGTACATTGTAATAGAGAGGAGGAAACTAGAGAGCTTTTTTTTTGTTATTCCCCTACTACTACTACGTACGTTGCTATTCTTCTGCCTAGTAGCTTGCCTGATTGCAGGGATGAAATGATGGAAATGATCTATCGATATGTGAAGCAAGGTGACCAGAATACCAGGATTGACGCATCTAGTGCTGGAGTATTGCGTTGATTTGAAAACAAAGGTGTTTGGAGGAATGAGAAGAAACTTGGAGAGTGTTTTAGCTCAGCCTATTGAATGTGTTTAGTTTAGTGAGTATGACTGATTGATAAAAGAGTGTAATTTGCAATTGATGGTTTTGAGCTGAGGTCTCCGAAGACTTGATCGATTTTAAATCAGAAGAGTTTAATAAGATAACACAATAATAATAAAAAAAATATATGGAGTTCGGTTTTATTTGTCCCAGACATATCAATTAAATTGATTTACGAGAAATTAATTTTTTTTATCTAAAAATTAAAAAGAAAATTTAGGAGTTTCTGCCCCTACCCTGATTTTTCCAGCAGTATTTAATTTCTCAGTTGACGTTATTTGTGCGGATAGGCTATAGTGGCCAGAGCCTCAGGTCTCTTCTTGACACTAATGTTGATACTCTGGCAAAAAAGTTTATGTACAATTTTGACAACTGATTCTATCATAAACTCAAAATCCAAAGGGAAGGTTGTTGCATTCATAATATCAATTGTTGCATTCATAATATCAACTAAGCATCAACACTTCAGCATAGGCCTTCCTCATAGTAAGGCCTATGTATTTGACTAGAGTGAGAGTACAGGAGGTGCTTCGCTTCTTGTATTTACAAAACGAGTTATTCAGGTAAATATAGACATTTGAAAATGACATTTCCAAATGTATTATTTGTTAAACAGTTTTTAGATGAGTCATTTTCAATGAATTTTGTGAATAATATTATCATTTTGCGATTTTATGTAATATGTGTCATCTCTTGTTTGCTATCCCAATAAAGCCAACCACGAAAACAAAATTCATTTTGCAAACAACATGTAATACATTATTTGGGTATTAGTCACATATAACATTATTGAACAGTCATTTTATGTTAACTATCTTCACAAATTGTAACGGCTTCATAGTATATCATTTACAACCAAACATGACAGATATTGGAAACTGGCCTTCAAAATAGTACGATTTGGAACTGTAATCACCAAAATCAGTGTTATTAAAATCTAATCGAGCCGATTGGTCTAAACGGTATAACCAACATCCAACCTCCAACATAGTTTAGTTGGTGATTTTGGTCACCTGTGGAGAGCTACCAGGCAGATACCAATCCGAATGGTTAACCACTCGAACCAAGCAAATCGACGAGCCGACTCTAAGCTAAGACTTACGAAATTGGTAACTGGATGGTGGTCACCAAAGTAGCAACTCTACAAGTCCAACTAGGCTAAGTAAAGTCTCCCTTGTCATTGAATAGTGTATATTTTTGTAAATCATGTATATTATCACTAGGGGTTAAAGACACATTTGGTCACTGAGATTACAAAATTGGGACATGTTTAGTCACTAGAAAAAGTTAATATCAAATTTGGTCACTACAATTACTAAAACTGGACGCATTTAGTCACTCGCCGTTAGTCTCCGTCCAACTCCGTTAATGAAGTCCGTTAAGTGCTGATGTGACAAACAGAATTGCCTAATCAGCCGGATATTAACCCAACTTAAATAAAACCCGACCCGCCACGTCATTATAACCCCCCACCTCATTAAAACCAACCCAACCCAATCCATGACCCAACCCTACCCAACCCTTCTTCCTCCTTCCTCCCCAACCCAATTTAGGGTTTTCCCCATCCCAACAGATTGTCGACAAGTTGTTCGACAAAATGCCGCACAGAAAATTCGACCCAGAGACGATAGACTCGAAGAATATTCCTTCAATCCCATTGACCACCATCCCTCCATCTCCACCCCAACAAACCACCGACCCATTGCTCCGACGAAGAGCGCAACTGTGATTGGCTCCCAGCGCTAACTGTGAATACTCCAGCGGCGGCGAATTCAGGGGAACATTGAGCTGCCCGGAGGAATTGTCTCCTCTGCAAACCACAAACCCAGTCGAATTCACTCCGCATGCGTGAGACCCGCCGGCTTGAACACTCAACAACGGCTAAATCATCGACTTATCCCTCTCAGCTGCCAGTTAAAATCAACCCAACAATATGCTTAAACTCGCCGGATCGAAGGTCTGGCCGGTAAGGATTCCGGTAGCTTTCTCGCCGGGATGGACACCGTCCCAGAACAGGTACTTGCTGGCATCAGGGCAACTACCCGGAGCAACACAGATTATCCCACAGCATGCTCTCGTCACCTCTTCGATCCCTACAAAAATTACAAAATGGAGCACTCCTCTTAAACAAGGGGGAGCAAAAAAAAAAAAAAAAAAACAGAGCAACAAGGGTCCAAAAGCTAATTCTGTTCATCATCATTACCATACGGAGCTGGGTTTCGTAGGAGGGAAATGCCAGGGGTGAAATTGTCGAAGTAGACGATCTTTGCTCCGGGAAGCTGTTGATTGTTCGTCAGTGAGGAAATCGCCGGAGAGAGCTTGGAGTTGAAGAGCTTGGCATCCTCATTCAACTCTTCGTTGCAGTTCCTCTCGAGTATCCCACCAGTAATTATCCTCTGGATCGGGACGCAACCTACTGGAGCCGCGCTCACAACCCCAATTCTCCTCGCGCCGAGCCCGTAGAGTTTCTGTATGGTTGGCGCATTTCGTCGAACAGGTTGAGGGCATGAATCTATGATTGAGATTGAGAATGAATATGATTGGGAGGAAGAAGGGTTGGGTAGGGTTGGGTCATGGGTTGGGTTGGGTTGGTTTTAATGAGGTGGCGGGTTATAATGAGGTGGCGGGTCGGGTTTTATTTTTGTTGGGTTAATATCTGGCTGATTAGGCAATTCTGTTTGCCACATCAGCACTTAACGGACTTCATTAACGGAGTTGGACGGAGACTAACGGCGAGTGACTAAATGCGTCCAGTTTTAGTAATTGTAGTGACCAAATTTGATATTAACTTTTTCTAGTGACTAAACATGTCCCAATTTTGTAATCTCAGTGACCAAATGTGTCTTTAACCCTTATCACTAGATAATTCCCATTTGCAAAAAATAGGTTTGACTTGCCATACGTAGTTATATAATCATTTGAAAAAAAATTATATATTAAAATTGATGTTTAAAGTATGAACTTTAAAACATTAATTAATACTCATGTTTGCTTAACCAATGGCAGTGTTGGATTGTAGATTATGGGGTCCATGAACCCCACTTGAAAAGAACATTTTGAGATTTTGTATTGACTAGTGGCTAGATAATTATTAATTTCGAATCTTGAACCCCATGAATTTTAGATAAAACTTGATTGAAATCATTCATTTTGAATTCATCCACATGAAAATTTGAAAGAAAGACAAATATAGATTATGTTATTTTCGAATTTTAGATTATGCATTTGATGAAGTTAAACCTTATTCTTTTATCATTTATGTGCAATTAAACTTCGATATAAATGATTCCATATAAAAAAAAAACTTTGATATAAGTGATTTGCAAATCACATATGGTTGAAAAAATATATGGTAAACTAGTAGAAAAGGTATGGTTTTCGACTACATTTGGAAAAATTTCTAGCCAAAGTGTTTCACAGTAATGTATTTTATTTCGGATTTCTGGTTTAGTACACTATTCTGTATATTCTACTTATGATATTCTTATTTATAAGACAACGATTTAATATCAATTAAATTAATGAAATATCAACCACCCGTTACACCGGTTCAATTAGGACAACATTGCAAAAAACCAGGATGGAAACCAGTAGCTACGTACATTCGTTCCCATCTCTCCCATGTGAAATAGCAAAATTTTCAGGGCCGTATCAAGCAGGGTAGCCTCCTCTTCAAAATGGCAACTGTGGGATTGTGAAAACCAAACTCTCGAGGTCCCCACTTTCCTCTATCATCGGCAGATTGGGAGTGAGCAAATTGCCAAACAGCTAAGCCACAACACCTTTTTTTTTTTTGTGTGGATGTAGGAAGTGTGGAAAAAGGGTTGGGCAGATTGCAGGCTTTCAAGTTGAAGAACTCATCAGACCCAATGCACTGCAACACTCCCAAAGCGGTGTCCTTCATCATGCTGCCCATTTGCCTAGTGGCAGACCACCCCCAATCTCATCATTCACCAAGGCAAGGACTGCTGAGATGAGAGGCAAAAGAGAAAGAAAAAGATAGAAACAAGTGAACCGTACTGAAAGGCAAACTGGTAAAGGCTAAATTTCTTTTTATTATAAAGAAAACAGTAAACAATAAAACAGAGTCACAGGAATTTCACCCACTGCATGCTACTGAATGCTAGAAACAGCTATATTCGTACTTGCTAAACTAAGAGGGGGGTTCCGTGTTGGGTTGTAAAAAAGGGCCGAATTCTTTCAGTTCTACAGTAGATTTGCATTCCCGTGGGCAGTGCCGTGTCATCAATCAAAGACATTAGTCGGTTCTGCGGTTAGCCATCATTGAGCACTAGACAGGTTTGGAATGGAACCGTCAAAGTTGAGCAGCTAGCATGGCAAAGCAATCGCATTGCATTGCAAAAGGCTACCAAGGGTTTGATATCAGGATCATAGACTACTTCTTTGGGAAATCTTATTACGTTTGTCTCTTTCTCTATCCATCGATCCCATTGAATTGACTGGTAAGCAGAACAGATAAAGCTTTTGGGGTTTTGGTAGTATCGTCTCCACCACTACGGGTCAGGGCTCCTATCTAGCTAATCATAATATCACCCAACACTTTTACAACTACTAGACAATGACAAGCGCCATGCTGCTGGGGAAACCGTTATTATTATTTTTTTTTTTACAGAAATGCCTAGTTGATATTTGTTTCTAATTTTCTTAATTTTTCCTTCTGCATGAATTTTATGTTTAATAATTTTTTCTTTTTCATTGTAAAAAGTTAAGGTAATACAAATAAGAATGCAAGTCATATGAAAAAAAGCATGAATGAGGGTTTGGCCTAATTGGTGATACCATTAGTGTTGAATCTAGTGGTGGAGCAAGGTTGAAGTTAGAAGAGGTTGTAGTGCCCCTCAACTCTAAATTATGTATAAATTAGAATAGTCGCTAAGCCTTTAGCTTCCCTCTCTCAATTGCGAAAATTCAAATCGTCCCCTACTCATTCAAATTTCTGGCTCCATCACTGATTTAACCTAATCATCTCACGTTCAAATTTCGTCCATAACACCTAATTATAAAATTAACCTATATATCATCTTGAGAAAAAATGTCATTTTCCCCATTGAAAACTTTGATTTTGTATTCAATAATTTTTCAATAATCTACATGAGTGAGTTAGTGGTGGCTTAGTCCGAATGGAGACCATATCCCTCGCATCCACCATCCTTCCTTTCCTTTTTCTACGAGCATCTAAATCAATTGCTTATTAAATGCCACCCCAACTTTTTAACAATGAAACTCACATTACTTTCATTTATCTATATCAATGTAATTAACTTGTAATTGCATATGTGGACATAACTTATTTTTTTAATAAAATAATAGTTTGCATTGTTGCATTGAAAATAAGATCAACTTCCCCCAAATTTCTCCCTTCCTTACCTTTCTCGTTTATATTTTCTTCTCTTCTTTCTTTTTGTTTCTCCACCATAGTTAGTATCCATAGTTAGTAAAATACGGTACAGGAAAGTTAAGTTTAAAATATGTATGTCTATTTTACTTTTCTAAACTAATATTACGTTTAATACTACATTAATAGTCATAAATATATTAAAATAATTATTTTATAAATAATTAAACATATAAATAATTGTAAAGTTAACAATTTAATTCATTAAATACGGATATTAAATGTGTTATATGGTTTTTATACTTGTTTAGTTCGGGGGCCATCAAATGAACGGGAGAATATGAAAAAGCTTGACAATAATACGGATACAGAAGTTTTAAACGGATAAAATACGTACGAGTACATATACGTGTATTAAATGGAGTATTTACTAACTATGTTCTCCACCGATTGAACCCGGTGCTAGAGCTCATAACTGTCATATTAGGACATTTCTTCTCCTTTTCTTGTCAGCCTTCACCATCCTACCAATCTCTAGTGCCGCTGCCATCAGCACCACTACCCCTCTATGCCGACAGTGATAAGATATGTCGTCAACCTCTCCACATCTCTCTTCGAAGCGACAACCATATCTGATGCACACCAACTTCCCTATCTCGATTAATTCATTTTTCTATCCATCAACATCTTTGCATGCTAATCCTAACATCAATTGGTTAACCCTAACTCGTGGGTTCGGGAGATGATGCAACAAAACTTGAGAGATGATGTGCCATGTGATAAGAATGAAGATGAAGAGAAAACTGATTTCCTGGTCCAATTTTTGAACTCTTGATGAGCCCTAGATAGATTCTCCTTTGATCAGAGTCACACAACCATGAATTGATGGGAGTCAATTCAAAACTTCAACAAGAACACACGAAAACTGGGTGATGTTTGGTGTGTTTGGGATGGTCGATTTCATGCAATCTCTCACAAGGGAGAAGACTCAAAATAGATAGGTCGATGCCTGGCCACGATCAGGGTGTGTAACTGATCGATACAAGCTCACGAATTGCTCAGAATTGATTAGGGCCCAAATGTACACATTTTACCCCTCATTTCTTATTCGTTTAGCTTAGTATTTCATCATTCCTCATTTTTTATTAGTTTAGCTTAGTATTTCATCCTAAGACCGTGACATCGTTCACAACTTGCCCGATAACATCGTTCTATCCCCTTCTTTTCCGCCATTGAGGGGAATGTCGAGCTTAAGTGTGTGTGTGTGTGTGGGGGGGGGGGGGCGGTAGTCCATTATGCATGTGTGTGTGAATGTTTGGCGTGATTTTGAATGCTTGGAGCCTAGTTGTATGCCCAAAATTTCAAATTTGAGGGCTCCAAGCATAGCAACTTTTACATTTGCATGATCATAGTGGCATCTTGTAGTAATTTGTTTTGAATCTCGTGGTTATTAGCATGGTCTATGGATGATTTGCTTGGGATCGTGTGCAACCTATGATGATGACTGAGACATGTATTAGGTTTGTGCATAGGTTCATTTCTCATATGTTTGTCAACCGACAGATGTTTGAATCAATTACTTGCTTTTCACAGTTTCCTATGCATCGAGTTTAGGGACTGAGAATGAATGATTGTGCACCTAGGTAGACATGTGAGACTTGTGTCGTTCTTGTGATAGATCCCCCTTTACATTATGCGTAGCATTCACCTTGTTGCTAGCAATAAAGATGGAGGCATAGGTTTAGTCCACGACCCAAATGTTGATCGACCCGATCATATCATCCCTTAGTCAACCCCTTTGAGCCGTGTGTCTAAGGGTCATTCTCGTTTTAGGTAGCTCTCGCTACTTGAGCTTGATGCTTGATTGATTTAGATAGAACAACCCTACTTTCTTTGTGTCTACACCATTATCGAGCCACCCTTGTGTTTGAAAGCTCCATTCATACCATTTGAGCTTAAACGAGGTTCCACATCAGTGATTTGTGTATGGTTTTGCTAAGAGGTTAAATGAGTGTGGAGGTACTTTTTCAAAGTGAGCATTGTTCCTTTAGTTAAAAAATGTGGCATGTTTATAGCTCTCTTTAGCCCCCAAAGAAAAGATAAGAAAAGAAAAAGAGAGTGGCCACCAAAAATATAATAAATGTTGAACATGCTCTTAGAAGTGTTGTTTAGCATGCAAGCTTTAGGAACACTTACATGTTGTTTGCCTACCACACTCTTGTGCTTGAAATTGAATAGCAAAGGTAGCAAGAAAGATTGTTGCAAATGGTTTGGTGATTGGTTGCGGTTTGGAATCGAGTGAAGTATGGTTTTTGGCCGATGCTAGTGGCCATTGAGTATAGGAGAGGGTTTTAATCGAAACCTTAGAACCTTTTGTGGTTTTAGGATGAAAATGTGGAACCTTGTGCTATATTTGCCACCACCCAAAAAGCCTTTTCCCCATGTCCTAGACCCTAGCCAGTCATTTGAACATGTGTCCAAGACCTCCGGACAAGCTAGCAGCGACACCCATCTTGTGAGCTCTAGCATTTAGAGGCTATCGTCATTGTGAAGGGACGTTAGGATTGAGCGTGAATATGCACATATTTTGCATCAAATGGTCCTGACCCCACTGTTCAATAGTGAGCGATTCTTCATCATGTTTTGTTCATTTCTTTTACCCTAGTGGGGACCTAGGTTTCTCGATCATTCGTTCCTATGGTGTGATCTTCATGCATGAGTAACTATGATTGGTGAGTCTTCAAGGCATGTTGTGTGTGCGTTCGTGAATAATGTGAGAACTCTTCTTTTGTACAATCTTAATACTGTTGAATGTCGTTTGTGGTGGTTGCCAAGATTACTTTGTTTTTGTCATAGGTCGGTGTCAAATAATCATTGTGATTCATTCGTTTTGTGCCCTATGACATGCCTAAAAAAATTTTGTGTTGAAAAAGAAGTTGTAAGCTTACCTTGTTTTGTTCTTGGTTTGCTTGGGGACAAGCAAACGTTTAAGTGTGGGGGAGTGATTCGGGCACAAATTTACACATTTTACCCCTCGTTTCTTATTCGTTTAGCTTAGTATTTCATTGTTCCTCGACATATTTCATACTGGGTTGTGCTTGTTTTGATACATTTCAGGTCCTAGCATGTGTGGAAGGGTCGAAGATGAGTTTTGGGATATTTGGAGGTCAAAAGGAGCAAAAAACCGAAGAAGAATCCGAAGTAGCGACTGTGACAATCGCCTCGTAACAGTGAAGTGAAGGCGTCCCAAGAAACAACCACAGTTCA